TCCTTTCTGAATAATACAAACCGGGTTTGTTGTTTTACTTTAAAATAAGCCGGCAAGTGGCTTTTAAAACTTTTTCTGTATGAAAAGATTCATGAAATCGGTACTAAAAACTGTTGAATTTTTAATACTGTAGATGACTTACACCTTTTTCAAAACTTTTATTAAAGCACTATTTCTTTTAATTTTTCAAAAGTAAAAATTCAAGGCCTTGTTGAAAATAAAAATGAAAAAGACAATTAACTGATTTTTTTTTAATACAAAATTAGTACAGAAAACAACTTATCCAAACATTTACAAATCAAATTGTTGCTTGCTTATAAACATTTAAAACAAAAGTGCTGTGCCTTTACTATAAATAATAAAATGATCTTGGTTGGACTAGAATACATTAATAGTATATTTAGACAATTTTATTCTCTCACAAAAATACATTTTAAAACAAATATGTTAACATACAAAATCTACTTAATTTTTTTTTACATAATCATTATTCTTTAGATAACCTGTTTATTTTTGCAGATAAATTTTACCTTTTTGTTGGCTTATACAGGGATTTTTAGATTTGAAGGATTGGTCTTTTGGAAAGATATGGTCTGAATGTCCTTTAAAGGCTTATTCATTTTAAACGATAAAGTAATTTCAAACCCATTTTTCGGAAAATCTTTTACTTTAAACCCCATCATCATCCTTAGGTCTTCGAATTTCACAGAAAATGACCCAAGGATCACCAAAACAGGCTTACCTACAATTGCATACTGCAAAAGTACAATAATTATTGGATACAAATTTTGTAGTTATTATAAAAACCCTTGATTCATGGCTTTCTGAATTCATGATTTCAGCACTTAAGGATGTACTTAGGTTAGGTTTTGGAATGTGTGTCAGATGTTCGGACTCCTTGGTTTTTTCCTACGATACAGGGTAAAATATTTTGCCCCATAACACCCATTTTTCTTTTCATAAAAGGCTTCAATAGCTCATAAAAATGTCATTGGTATAAAAATTTTCAGCAAATTCTAGATTTCTTTTCTTTCGATTTGAGACCCAAATAATACCAATGCAAATATAAGGTAAAAGTCTGAGTCAGCCTTTTCCCGCCATTTTTTAAAACTCAAATATCTCGAAAAGGAGCTCCATAACCTATCAATATTTTTATCTTATTTTGTTCCTTAACTAATGCTCTTTCGATTTATAGTATCAATTTAAAATTCTTGATTTGTAAAATTTCACCTAAGTACATCCTTAATCAGGGAATCACAATTTCTATCATTTAGGAATCAAATAATGCCAATCCACATCTAGGAATTCAAAAACTCTTTACTGCAAGGATTTACAGCAATTCTTGAAGATTAGAGACCCATGGAATAATTTTTCTTACAGTACCAATATAACAAAAAGTTTTAAATCCTATAGACTGGAGGCACTACTATCAAAATATAAATTGAAGTTCTAATCAAATTTAATAAACAGTACATGGAAAATTGAAGTTCTTATCAAATTTAATAAACAGTACATGGAAAATTGAAGTTCTTATCAAATTTAATAAACATTACATGGAATTTGAAAACTAAACGTATTTGATCAAAAACAAAACATACTAACACAACATGAACATACAGAAATGAATAGCATAATGACTGATCGACAATCATTTGAACTACCGAGGAATGAACAAGTTTAAATACAATTAAAACACATGGTACAAGCATGATGTTAAAATGTCATGAGATACACTATGAAAGACTTGGCACAATGACAAATGAGGCCAAAAATAAAATTTCAATTGTTTGATGTTGCCTACCTACCCACCTAAAAAGCAGCCTACCTGAAAAACTTTAGAGACAAATTGTTTCAAATATTTTTTTAAAGATTTTTTCCTGCTCTGGCGTTGTTTTCTTGTCTCAAACATGTAACTTATGCTGTTTACCTAAAAAAATCCCTACCTACCTACCTAACCCTAAAAGGCATTTGTAGGCAACATCAAACAAAGAATTTTTTTAAGGGTGGCCTGATAAAATATTCAATACAATCTGAATGAAATACAAAGGAGTAGGTCCAGTAAGACCCCTTTTTGGCCCCAAAATATAGTAGTTTTACAAAATTGTTAAAATGTAAATTTTGAGCTATTTATTGGAAAGAAGAATACTTCTGTTACATAAATATGGGCTGTTTTTGACAATACAATGCACATGTATCGGGTACTAGCATCATTAAGTCATGCTAAATTACTGAAATCTTCAAAATTTTAGCATTTTGGTTATTTTTTAGACGGTTTCCGTCTTAAATGGAAGTGGCCGCATTTGTGTTCATTCTTAATATTTAAATGTCAGCTGTATTTGATGATATTACATAACATATATAAAGGTTGAGAATGAACACGGATGCGGCCTCTTTCGTTTTTGACAAAAACCATCTGAAAAGTGACATATTATGGCATATTTGATGGTTTTTTCATATTTAAGCTTGAATTTGAGCGTCTTTAATGACTAAATCAGTTCAAATCTTTCACATAAACTAATTGAATCGACTGAAGAAGACACTTAAGTGTTTAAAAAGTGTCCAAAATCTTTCATCAGATGAACCTGAATTTTGAGGCCAAAATCGGCCCTTACCGGACCTACTCCTTTTGTGTCAACACTTCACCTATAGGTTTCTAATAATGCCCTGTTTACTTTCTGTTTGACAATTTTTATGTCATCAAATGAAATTTCTGTCTCAAAATTTAAAGGTTTGAGTCAACAAATGCTGAAGATCCAGAAATAGTCCTCAGAGCGTAAATAGCCTTGTCAACGAAGTTCTAACTCAGAATATGTATGTCAATCAGAATATATTCAATCAAACCAATTATTGTGGATTCATTTATTTTCATGGATACCAATTTTCGTGGACAGAGGAAAAATTAAAAAAATTTCGTTGATACTTGATTTTGTGGTTTCGACAAAGTCTGCATTCACAGATAATTTGTTTAAATTCGTGGTTCATCTATACCCAGGAAATCCATCAACAAAAATGGTATCCCATGAAATGATAATGAATCGACAGTATATAATATATTCAATACTCAATAACTTTTTACTTCATCATCAATATTCTATTCAAAATTTTAAAATCTCCCTGAAAATTGTAAATATATTTTACAGAAATATATCACACTTTTATGCAGAGACGTAAAACTGAAACTAATACAAAACTGTGTCAACGTTATGAACATTTTAATGATTTATTTTTTTTTTAGATAAAAAACATCATTTGAACTTCATGCCCTTATTTTGCAAAATTACAAATTAAAATCCTAATTGAATGGGTTTGTTCCCCTTAATATTATTATTTTAGTACAATTTCTTTGCAAATAATATATATACTATATAATAAAAAGTTTGGGAAATGATTTTGCAATATTACAATCATTAATTGTGTGATTAAATAAATAAGATAAATAAAATAAATACAAATAGCACTACTATCCAATTAAAGCATAATGTAAATAAAATGCCACAGTGATCAAAGCATAATGCAATGAGCCGGAGAATGTTTAATAAATACCCAACAAGTAAATACATTCTCTAATCACAGTGATATTGTTTGCCTCAAATTACCTCCGAAATACAGCTTTTTCCCCTAGAGAAAATTCCCAATTACTAAAATAAATGGCATAAAATTCCTCCCAAAAAGTTATACATTTTCCCCTAACAGTGATGGCATCGGTATTAATGTACGTAAATTTCGTATTCATGTTATTTTTTATATTATAAGCGCTTTCGAGATCTGGGTTTCTTATTAGAATCATTGAAGTGTTTGTAACACACATGGTTTCAATGTATTAAGTACTGTCAATTTCGTCGTTTCTTTCCCCTCCCCAAATAGTTCCTTTACGGTTGAAAATGTCTCACAATTCAAAATATTTCGTTAAAAAAAACTGTTTAAAAAAATTCCCAATTTTCTTAATTTTCCCAAAATAAAAGGGTAGAGGTAGTTTTGAAAAAAGACAACAATATCACTGAATCAAAACTACCTGCTGCAGATAAATTATCATTTGTTGGATACCAATTTTCGTGGATTTCTAGAGTAAAGGTGAACCACTAATTCAAATGTTCAAGGAAGTACAAATTATCTTTTGTCTTGAATGGAGAGTTTTGCAAAACCATGAATTAAAATATCATAGGAAATACCATATTTCCTCAATCCATAAAAATTGGTACCCACCAAAATACATGCATTTAATACGGTGGCAGACCAAACTTGAAATATGAAAAAAAAAAAAATTTTCTATCTGCAAATTCTCTCTAAGAGAAAATAAATAGATCTATAGTTAGTATGTGACACATGTCTGAATTGACTGCAAGTTAAATTTCTTAAAATGTCTTAACAGAAGGTAACAAACAGAACAAGTCTTAATATCTTAATGCATAAACATTTCATACAGTGTTGATACTAAACCCCTAACGGGAAGGATTGTGCCTGATATTCATATGATGAAGACATAATCTTTCAATCAGTTTAATTGAAGTCTGGAGCTGGCATGTCAGTTAACTGCTAGTAGTCTGTTGTTATTTATGTATTATTGTCATTTTGTTTATTTTCTTTGGTTACATCTTCTGACATCAGACTCGGACTTCTCTTGAACTGAATTTTAATGTGCGTATTGTTATGCGTTTACTTTTCTACATTGGCTAGAGGTATAGGGGGAGGGTTGAGATCTCATAAACATGTTTAACCCCGCCGCATTTTTGCGCCTGTCCCAAGTCAGGAGCCTCTAGCCTTTGTTAGTCTTGTATTATTTTTAATTTTAGTTTCTTGTGTACAATTTGGAGTTTAGTATGGCGTTCATTATCACTGAACTAGTATATATATTTGTTTAGGGGCCAGCTGAAGGACGCCTCCGGGTGCGGGAATTTCTCGCTGCATTGAAGACCTGTTGGTGGCCTTCTGCTGTTGTCTGTTCTGTGGTCGGGTTGTTGTCTCTTTGACACATTCCCCATTTCCATTCTCAATTTTAGTGTTTAGATAAAAATGGCTGTTCCATCTTCATTATGTCTACTAGTATTGAAGCACTGTAAATTTTAAAATCATTGCATGTTTTCATGAATATACAAAAAATATGAAATGACAAGCACCTTAGAATTATCTCAAATTTTTCTTTGAATTTTTCTTTTACAAAAAATATTTAAATCAAATTTGTCAAGTCTTGCAATTCTGTCAGTCAACATTCATTTGTACTAACAATACAAATATCAATTTATAAAGTTACAGTATTCAACTTAAAATCAAAAGATGTTTAGCAATGAACACATCAAAGATTTAAAAACCCATTTCCCCGTTGAGCACTTCTTTTGTAATTGGTATTTTAATTAATGTCCTCCAGGTTGTTGACCTTGGTGTTGTCCTTGACCTTGATGTACAGGTACTGTTCCAGGCTGTTTAAAAAAACAAAATAATGAAAATATAAAAAATTATCATCACATATATATATATTGCGCATGTTGTCACTATATTATCAAACCATTTTAACGATGTTTTCTTCTGTAATAATTCATTTTTGTCTTAATATTTTTTAAATCCCTCTGGGTTTTTTCTCTCTTGGCCATGCATTAAAATATGTTGCCCAGCAACCCCTATGCTTGTACTTTAAATTCAGAACTTTTTTAAGAATGGACAAAAATGCGAGAATAATTATTTAATTTTCAGTATATGCTGCATATAATCAAAGATATAATAAAAACATTGCAAAAATTTCTGAATTTACAGTATTTATAAATTTCAAAATAAACTTTTTAAGTATACCTCTGGAAGAATAATTTCTAATTCTTTTTATATCTAAAATAGTTTTCGACCAGTTAATATTCAAAATTTCCCATTAATTTCATGAGAAAAAGTTTGATTTTTCAAAAACAAAATTTCTACATACATATTTTGTTCATGTTCTAAAAAGTTGTAAAATTAAAAAAAAAAGATTGGTTAATGGTTGCCTTGGAATACATCTCAGTGTTTTATTCCTTTAAGGAATTTAGTGAAGAAGATGTTTTTTTTTTGTCATCATTTTATAATTCTATCTTGTAAAGACATCAAATAATCAACCGATTACCAATGGCAGTAACCTACTTCGACTTGACCTAAATTAGCTAGGTTGCTACTTTGTCTACCACCAAACTGACCTGATCATGCCCGACTAATGGTTGAACATTTTGTACTGGAACATGTTGTTGTTGTTGTTGTTGAACTGGCACATGTTGTTGCTGTTGCTGTACTGGTACTCCCTGTTGGTGGACTGGTACACCTTGTTGCTGAGTTGGCATCCCTTGTTGGTATTGGTTAGATTGTTGCCCACCTTGTTGTTGACCACCCATTTGTGCTTGTTGCTGGGCTGCCATTTGCTGCTGGTGATGCTGTGCTGCCATTTGCTCCTGATGCTGCTGTGCTGCCATCTGCTGTTGATGTTGCTGTGCTGCCATCTGTTGTTGGTTGTGCATCTGCTGTTGGTTCATTTGAGCTTGTTGTTGGTTGTGCATCTGCTGTTGGTTCATTTGAGCCTGTTGTTGGAAGTGAAGAGCAGCATCAGGGTTTGGATGTACCTGTTGTTGCTGTTGTTGTTGATGATGTTGTTGTTGCTGTTGTTGTTGATGATGTTGTTGCTGCATTTGCATGTGATCTACATTCTGATCATGTGGTGGTTGCATCTGTAAAATTTCAATTTAAGTTTTCATGTAATTGCAGTAAAAGTATTCATGTAATTGCAACTAAAGTAGACATGAAATTGCAGAAAGGATACAAGTTATTATAGTAAAAGTATTCATGTATTTTCAACAGGATGTTAAGCTGCTATCAGTCAATAAATAAAATAGCCAGAAGACACAAAAGCATTTCATGAAATTGCATTAATTAATCTTCCATTTTTTCTGTTCACAAAAAAAATGCCTTAATAAATGCACACATTAATTGCTGATTTTAAAATATTTACCATTGTTTTACTGTATTTAACACTATCATGGTTGATTGAGTTTAGCAGCATAAATTTCATGCAAGTCTTAATAAAACATCAAACTCATACCTCCCAATCCATTCTACAACCAGTAGAACATTAAACTAAAATTCATACTTGCATCCTGATTCTTTCTATAACTAGTCAACATTGAGGTTTAAACTAAAATTTATACTTGCATCCAGATTCATTCTACAACCAGTCAAAATTAAGTTTTAAACTAAAAGTAATACTTGCTTTCAGATGTATTCTACAACCAGTTAACATTGATTTTAAACGAAAAGTTATACATGCATCTAGATACATTCTACAACCAGTCAACATTGAGTTTCAAACTAAAAGTTCTACTTACAACCATTCCTGGTTGAGCATGAGAATCAAATGATCCTTGTTGTCGTCTTTTCATTTCTTCTTCCATCAGCATTCTCTCATATTCTTTATATTCCTCATCTGTATACTCTTTATTCTGATCAATAGTCTTTAAGAAAAATATAGTATTTAATATAAACGAAGTATCAGTCCTCTTTTCCTCAATTTTGACATAAATGAGACTTTCATCCAAATTTATATTTACCATGAGCAACATGATAGGTGAAACATGAGGAGCAGGATCTTCTTATCCTTCTGGAGCACATGAGATCACCCCTGGTTTTTAGAGGGGTTTGTGCTTTTTAAAGATGTTTGCTGTTCTTGTTTTCGACTTTCTGAATTCAGAATCCTTTGGTTTTATCCATGCAGTGCCATTTAAAATTTTGCCCACTAACCCCTACTTTTCTTTTCATAATTTTATTACATATAGTTTTAAAAGCTATTTTTCAAAACCTTATAAAATACTTGTTATTTTTTCATAGTTTTTTAAAGAAAAAAGGTACCAATGTTAAACCATTGAAAAATCTAGAGAGATTCATTTCCTGCCATATTTTCAATGGCTTATATCTCAATAAAATGCTCCGCTGGGGCGCAGCTTGATACGACCGCAGAGGTCGAACCCTGAACAGTTGGGGCAAGTATGGACACAACATTCAAGCTTGATACAGCACTGAATTTGGATTGTAATTAAATATTTGACACAGCATAGGTTTCTCACACAGAATGAAAGTAGTCTAAGAACTTAAAATTTTTTAATTTACCTATTCAAACCATATCATTATTATTTGCTTTTATATATAAATCAGAAATAACCAATTTAAAATGGAAAATTTTAAAGAAAAAAAAATCCCCCCCCCCCAAATTTTTTGAAACCCCCTTATGATTCATCACCCCAAACTCAATCCCAGCCTTCCCTTTGTGGTATGGTACCTTGCAGTACAATTTCAGAGAGATCCATACACTTGAACACAAATTATTGTCTGGAAACTAGAAAAATGCTTGGGTTTTTTGCACCTTTTTGGCCCCAAATTCCTAAAAGTTTAGGGCAATTACCCCCAAACTCAAACCAAGCTTTCCCTTTGTGATATGGAACCTTGCAGTACAATGTCATAAAGATCCATACACTAACACACAAGTTATTGTCCTGAAACTAGAAAAATGCTTGTTTTTTTGCCCCTTTTATGGCCCCTAATTCCTAACATTTTGAGACAATTACCCCCAAAAACAATCCCAGCCTTCCCTTTGTGGTATGGTACCTTGCAGTACAATTTCAGAGAGATCCATACACTTGAACACAAGTTATTGTCTGGAAACTAGAAAAATGCTTATTTTTGGCCCCTTATTCCTAAACGTTTTGGGCAAGTACCCCCAAACTCAATTCCAGCTTTCCCTTTGTGATATGGAACCTTGTAGTACAATTTCATAAATATCCATACACTTACACACAAGTTATTGTCATGAAACTAGAAAAATGCTTGTTTTTTGCCCCCTAATTCCTAAAATTTGGAGGCAATTACCTCCAAAATCAATCCCAGCATTCAAACCCTCAATCAGCATCATTTAACAGTAATATCTAAAAATGGAAATTACATAATAAAGGTATTAAAATAGAAAATGACATCATAGTCATGGCTAAAAATAAAGAAAATCCTTAATCAGCAACATTTTACAGTAATATCTAAAAATAAAATTCCTTTGTAACCATAAAAGCCCATTTAAATACATCATGACAGATATTAAAATAGAAAATGACATCATAGTCATGGCTAAACATAGCAAAAACCTTAATCAGCATCATTTAACAGTAATATCTAAAAATAAAAATTTCTTTGCAACCATAAAAGAAAAATAGAAAATGACATCATAATCATAGCTAAAAATAAACAAAAATTTTTTTTATTACCAAATTTTAAATGGAGTTTATTAAACTAAAACAATAAATTTGCAACCATAAAACCCCATTTAAACACATCATAAAAGTATTAAATAATTCAACTACATCATAAGGCTATAAAAATAGAAAATGACTTCATAGTCAAGGCTAAAGGTAAACAAAAAACCTTCATCAGCAAAATTTTATATTGGCAAATTTCCAATGAAGTTTATTATACTAAAATTGTTGGCAAATTTCCAATGCATTTATTAACAATAAAGTTATTGGCAAATTTCCAATTTAAATAATTTAAAAGCAGTGTAAGTGAGATATTTAAATGAGTTTGAATTACCAACCTTACACTGCTTTTAAATAATGTTTTGTACTTATTTGTCTATTAACCTGGAAACCCTTGTTTTTCACCTTTTTTCCCCTTATTATTTAAAGGTTTGAGCCATAACCCTACCCCAAAGCCAATTCTTAAATTCCAATGTAACCTAAATTTACAATATACATAACTTCAATTTAAGTTTTTGATAAAATCAAACCACATCATTATTATTTGCTTTTATATCTAAATCAGAAATAATTAACCAACTTTAAGTGGAAAATTTTCACACATCACGCCCCCCCAAACTCAATCCCAGCCTTCAGTTTGTGGTATGGTACCTTGCAGTACAATTTCACAGAGATCCAATTACTTAAACACAATTAATTGTTGGAAACTAAAAAAAAATGCTTATTTTTAACCCCTTTTTTAGCCCCTTATTCCTAAACATTTGAGCAATTATCCCCCAAACTCAATTCCAACTTTCTCTTTGTGATCAGAATTAACCAACTTAAAATGGAAAATTTTAAAGAAAAAAAAAAGGAAAAAAAATCCCCCCCCCAAATTTTTTGACCCACTTCCCTTTGTGGTATGGTACCTTTAAGTACAATTTCAGAGAAATCCATACACTTGAACACAAGTTAATGTCTGGAAACTAAAAAAATGCTTATTTTTGCCCCCTTTTTTGGCCACTTATTAATAAATGTTTTGGGCAAACATTTTACAATAATATTTAAAACTGAAATTAATTTGTAACCTTAAAATTAAATAGAAAATGACATCATAGTCATAGCTAAAAATAAACAAACTATTGGTAAATTTCCAATGGAGTTTATTATATTAAAACAATAAATTTGCAACCATAAAAGCGCATTAAAATACATCATAAAAGTATTAAAAAAAATTTAACTACATCATAAGGCTATTAAAATAGAAAATGACATCATAGTCAGACTAAAGGTAAACAAAAAACCTTCATCAGCAAAATTTTATATTGGCAAATTTCCAATGAAGTTTATTATACTAAAATAATTGGCAAATTTCCAATTTACATAATTCAAACATAGTGTAGGTTAGATATTTAAATGAGTTTGAATTACCAACCTTACACTGCTTTTAAATAATGTTCTTTACTCAATTATTTGTCTATTAAAAATGGAAACCCTAGTTTTTTAACCTTTTTTCCCCTTATTCCTTAAACGAAAAAAAATAATTACCCCTTTTTTGACCCCCCCCCCCCTATGATTCATCACCCCCCCTTCCCCCCCAAACCAAGCTCAATAACAGCCTTGCCTTTGTGGTATGGTACCTTGTAATACAATTTTAGAGAGATCCATACACTTGAACACAAGTTATTGTCTAGAAACTAAAAAATGCTTATTTTTCACCCCTTTTTAGGCCCCTTATTACTAAACGTTTTGGGCAATTACCACAAAACTCAATTCCAGCTTTCCCTTTGCGAAATGGAACCTTGTAGTAAAATTTCAGAAAGATCCATACACTTACACACAAGTTATTGTCATGAAACTAGAAAAATGCTTGTTTTTTGCCCCCTTTTGGCCCCTTATTCCTAAAATTTCGAGGAAATTAACCCCAAAATCAATCCCATCATCGACCCTTTGTGATATGGAATCTTGTAGTACAATGTCAAAGAGATCCATACAATAACACACAAGTTATGTCTGGAAGTTACAAAAATGCTTATTTTCGGCCCCTTTTTGGCCCTTAATTATTTAACTGTTGGTACCATAAACCCCAAAATCAATCCCCACCTTCCTATTGTGGTATTGAACCTTATGGTAAAATTTCATAGAGATCCATTCACTTAAACTAAAGTTAGAGTGCGAAAACCATTGTGTATTCGGACGACGACGACGACGATGCCAACGTCATACCAATATACGACCACAAAATTTTTTTGCGGTCGTATAAAAATCTAAATTCATGGTTAGATTCAGCATATCAAAGAACCCCATATATTCAATTTTTGTTGAAATCAAATAAAGTATAATTTTGGACCCCAACTTGGACCAACTTGAAAACTGGGCCCATAATCAAAAATCTAAACACATGTTTAGATTCAGCATATCAAAGAACCCCAAGAATTCAATTTTTGTTAAAATCAAACTAAGTTTAATTTTGGACCCTTTGGACCTCAATGAAGACCAATTTAAAAAACGGGACCCAAATTAAAAATCTAAAAAACACGGTTAGATTTGGCATATCAAAGAACCCCAATAATTCAATTTTCGATGAAATCAAACAAAGTTTAATTTTGGACCCTTTTGACCTCAATATGAACCAATTTGATAGCGGGGCCTACAAATAAAAAATCTAAATACATGGTTAGATTCAGCATATCAAAGAACCTCATATATTCAATTTTTGTTGAAATCAAACAAAGTTTAATTTTGGACCCCAATTTGGACCAACTTGAAAACTGAGCCCATAATCAAAAATCTAAACACATGTTTAGATTCAGCAAATCAAAGAACCCCAAGAATTCAATTTTTGTTAAAATCAAACTAAGTTTAATTTGGACCCTTTGGACCTCAATGTAGACCAATTTAAAAAACAGGACCCAAAATTAAAAACCTAAATACACGGTTAGATTTGGAATATCAAAGAACCCCAATAATTCAATTTTAGATGAAATCAAACAAAGTTTAATTTTGGACCCTTTTGACCTCAATATGAACCAATTAGATAACGGGGTCCTCAAATAAAAAATCTAAATACATGGTTAGATTCAGCATATCAAAGAACCCCATATATTCAATTTTTGTTGAAATCAAACAAAGTTTAATTTTGGACCCCAATTTGGACCAACTTGAAAACTGGGCCAAAAATCAAAAATCTAAATACATGTTTAGATTCAGCATATCAAAGAACCTCATATATTCAATTTTTGCTAAAATCAAACAAAGTTTAATTTTGGACCCTTTGGACATTAATGTAGACCAATTTGAAAACTGGACCCAAAATTAAAAATCTAAATACACTGTTAGATTCGGCATAACAAATAAATAAATGTGATCAAAGATTTTACAAATCTAATGCGCCATACTGTGCAATTAAAGATTACTTCTAAGTTCTTGAAATTTTTCAATATTTGAAATTTGAAAAAAAAATAATATTTGAAGAATAATTCTTTTTAATTTCTGAAATCTGAAATGAGAAAAAATTGGCCCCCCACAATTTCTTTTTATCCCCCCCCCCCCTTTTTCCCCCAAAAAAATTCTTTCCCTCAAGATATGGTGATAATCTCAATTCAAATTTCCAATGGAGTTGGCAACCATAATTACCCATTTAAATTTACCATAGTGCTAACTTAATCTATTTTATAATAGAATTAATAAAAATATAGTGTCAAATCTTTCATATGGATTTTTTTGTAAAAAAAAAAAGATGAAAACATTTGCAGATATTTTTACTGGTCTTCCTTTATAAATATGCATTTCTTTAAACATAATTTAAAAGCAGTGTAAGGGAAGTAACCAAAACGTTGTATTTGGATTACCTCCCTTACACTGTTTTAGATTATCTTTATTGTTCATTAACCATTACTTTATACATAATTTAAAAGCAGTGTAAGGGAGATAATTTCAATGATGTATTTGATTTATCTCCCTTACACTGCTTTAAATTATGTTTTGTACTAAAGTATTTGTCCATTAACCAGGACAACCTTGTTTTTCCCCCTTTTTTGCCCCTAATTCCTAAAGGGTTTGAGCCATAACCCCCCAAAGCAAATCCTAACCATCCCTTTGTGGTATGGAAACTTGTAGTATAATTTCAGAGAGATCCATACACCGTTCCACAGTTATTGTCTGGAAACTAGAAAATGCTCATTTTTGGCCCCTTTTTGGCCCCTAATTCCTTAACTGTTGGTACCATAACCCCCAAAATCAATCCCAACCTTCCTTTTGTGGTATTTAACCTTATGGTCAAATTTCAAAAAGATCCATTCACTTAAACTAAAGTTAGAGTGCGAAAACCAATATGTATTCGGACGACGACGCCGGACGACGACGACGACGACGACGACGACGACGACGCCAACGTCATACCAATATACGACCACAAAATTTTTTTGCGGTCGTATAAAAACTAGGACACAGACCTTTCATTTTTTTCTGCTTTTTTAGTTCTGTTACTAATATACTATAACAATCTTTTAAAAAGCTTTTTTTATTTTGAAACAGAGTAGTGAACATCCTTAAGTCTGAAGTTTTCTATGTAAGTAGATTGTTTTACTTTGTATTTGCATTAAAATGCAATGACCTGACAATACATTTGACTGCTATGATAAAGATTAAAAACCAGTATGGAAATTTTACTAAAATTGGGCTTGAATGTTTTACTTCTGAAATGTTGTTACTCAAGCATGATCCAATTTAGTCAAATTGTTATGTAAATTGAACATAGTGGGCGATTGCTTGTATCTACATCTTAGGTCAAAAGTCTTTCACCTATCCAAAACTCCCCTTTTATTTCATATAAAAATACATTTTTAAAAACATTGTCAAAACTAATTTGCGGTCCAATTTTTGATGGCATTTTTAATGTTTAACTCACAAATGTGTACAATTTTTTATGGTTATTATGAAAATTTTTTTTTATGACATGTCATTACTAAGAAATCATTATTTGTTTACAAATGTTGAAATTAAGTGTTATTTTCTCCTATAATGCCATATGATTTTTTCATACAGAAATTCAGATTTGTCTTTGAACATTGATTGCCCATAAAATATAAATCATAAACATATTTCATAATTATTCCAAGAAACAGCAGACATTTCTGTATTTAAGGAAAAAAATTCATTCAATTTGGACAAGAAATATCTTCAGTAGAATTTTTATTAAAAATATGTTTTTATATAAAATAACAGGGAAATTTACTATAAGTGACCTAAGACTGTATCAGTTTGAACTACATAATTGCTTACATCCCAAGGTTCATCCTTGTTAAAGTCATTGCTTGCTGTGTATTGCAAGAACTCCTCCTTACTGACCAACTTATCCTTGTCTTTGTCCAACTCGTTCATAACATGTTCCCTCATACGGTTCATCTCCTCGTATCTCTCGTTCATGTCATCTTCTGGTGCATTTGGATCATATACTTGATCAAGCTAGGAAAACAATAAATTTGAAATATAACATGTACCATTACAACTTAAGGATGTTCGCTACTCTGTTTCAGAATAACAAGCTTTTCAAAAGACTGTTATAAAATGATAGAATATAAATAAAGGAACTAAAAAGGCAGAAAAAAATGTTTTCGAGATATAAGCCATTGAAAATTTGGGCGAGAAATGATTCTCTCTAGATTTTTCATACTTTTAACATTATCCGCTTTTCTCTTTTAAAAACTATGAAAAAATATCAAAGATTTGATAAGATTTTCAAATATGGCTTTTAAAACTATATGTAATAAAATTATGAAAAGAAAAGTAGGGGTTAGCGTACAAAATTTTATTTAATGGCAAAACATGGATAAAACCAGAGGATTCCGAAAATCTGGCAAAAATTCAAAAACAAAAGAAGCGAACATCCTTAATTAACAAATTAATTACAAAGGTTTGATAATACCAATGAAAGTTGTATAAATACATTCAACTGACCAGAATATGAGTTGAAAATTTTTTTGTTTTCGTATGCTGCAATACCATAAATTCTGTATTTTACAAAGTTAATCATTAGCAGAACATTAAAACTTTTCTCAAACTTATGTTTTTAAATGGAGGAAAAAACCACCATGGTATAAGTTTCAGAATGTTTGGGCCTCAATGCTCTTCAACTTCGTACTTTATTTGGCTTTTTCAACTTTTTTATTCGAGCATCACTGACAAATCTTTTGTAAATGAAACATGTGTCTGGCAAACATAATTTTAACCCTGCTTTCTAATATGTGTTTTATTCTTATCCTCTCAAATGAGAAAAAACACAAAATAATTTTTATGAGAACATGAAAAGTCTTATCAGTGTATGACATACCTCTTTCTGAAATAATGCTTCAACTTCTTCCTCATCTAAGAATCCATCTCCATTTATATCTGTAAATTAAAAGCATTATGTTATTCCTTTATATGAACCGGAACTCTTTTTTAGCTTTAAGGATGTTCGCTCCTCTTGTTTTTGAAATTTTGCCAGATTTTCGGAATCCTCTGGTTTTATCAATGTTTTGCCATTAAATAATTTTGTCCACTTACCCCTACTTTTCTTTTCATAATTTTATTTCATATAGTTTTAATAGCCATATTTGAAAATCTTATAAAATCCTTGTTATTTTTTCATAGTTTTTAAAAGAGAAAAGCGGACAATGTTAAAAATATGAAAAATCTAGAAAGAATCATTTCCCGCCAAATTTTCAATGGCTTATATCTCAAAAGCAAGCACACGGACCCTTCATTTTTTTCTGCTTTTTTGGTTCCTTTATTTATATACTATAAATTTAGAACAGTCTTTTAAAAAGCTTGTTATTTTAAAACAGAGTAGCAAACATCCTTAAATGTATCAATTTATTTCATCATAGATATAATCAAATCACCTATACCAGACTTTTGTCATGTCTTAACGTTTTTTTGTCTTTTAGGGAAATTGGTGTTATGTCTGATCTTTGAGCCTGTAGCTTGACATACTGTAAAGGCACTAGTCTATTTTTAAAACAATAAGTTGACCTCTAGCTGTCTAATTGCTGTATACACCATATCTCCTTATATTCATAAGGATTTGAATAGAATTAAATTTCAAACTGAACTATTGCAAGAAACTGGATATGAAAGGTGTCCAGTATAAACATTTGCAGTGATTTAGATTTTAAAACATATAGTAGGACAACTGTTGTAAAACATACATGTATGATGACTTGAAGAGGTCTTCTGAAGTTTTGTTATGTTTTTGTCTCAGTGACATATAACCAACATTTCCTTTCAGTCATATATCCCATAATGTAGGTAATAATCAGCCAAATTTTGTTCATATGTTTACTTAATATTGCAATCATCATATGGGGTTCTGGATGTGGTTTATAGAATAAATACTAGTGGTCAAAATACTCAGATAAAGGGTAGAAAAAATAAAGGATAAAGACAAAATATGCCAAAGATAATAAAGAAAATAGAGAATAACAGGTTCCAAAAATATAAAGAAGAGAATAGACAAAGAATACAGATATGAAACCCCCATCCAGACCCTTGATCATAAAATACTTTCGTCAAATAGATCAAACCTTATTCTAATTTTGAATCTGTATCCTTATAGCAATCACTTGATCAGTTGTACAATTAAAGTTCTAGTATCAATTCCAAAACCTCCCTACAACTAATTTAAACCCAATTCTAAAACTACTCCATAACATTACGTATTAGTTTATCCTAATCCATACCGTGCATCTTGAAGAATGTTTTGGGTTCAAAGTCATTTGGGTCTAAATGATCTTTTTTCTCCCATACTTCCTCTAGTTGGTCTTTACTTCCCTATGGTAATTAGAAAATATGTTACAAATACTCTGAGGATTATCGGGGATAAAGGGTGTACAAAAAATCCAGTCCTTTGTTAGATATGCTGGAGAGAGAAAACATTATGCAAGTTGTTTATTCCCATGATGTTACTGATTTTTCCTCATAGCAAAGGCAGTTTTAATAACCATAGCTCTATGAGCCAGCTACTGTTTGTTTGATGTTAATGAGATATGGGGTTGGTCGCAATAAGACAAGAACCCAGAAATGACAAAACACATCCATTAAGGTCTACATACAGTCATAATGTCAGTAATAAACTTCAAAATCTTTTTTTATTCTTTTTTCATCTTATTTACTTACAGAACCACATTTCCCCTTCAAATACTTCAAATCTAATGAGAGTATAGAAAAAGAAATTCAATATCTCTTATTTTTCACACTGGAATATACTGGTTTTTTTTCCCAGTTTACTTTTGAAATATCATGAAAACAAGCAAATGCAGTCAGTTTTCTCTCATCGAATTCTAGGTAGAAAAAAATGAAATGTTAATTGTGACAAACAAGGATCCTACCATGCATCATGAAGAAAGTTTTAGGATCAAAATTGTCTTTGTCCATCTCATCATTCTTTTCCCACACTTCTTCAAGCTGTGCTTTGCTACCCTGAAAATGATTCAATATTAAAGAAAAATAACAATTTTTCAGCTGGAACACTTCCATATAAGTCCTTGTGAGTACTGAAGGGTAAAGATGGCATTAATTTTGCAGTGGGAACTTAAAATCAAACATTGTATTGTGTTAAGCATTGGAGGAAGGATCAACTACAATTATGGACAAAGGTAGATAACTCCAATTTCAAATATAACTTGAACAATGACATCATTGATATTTTAATAAAAGAACAGAGTTCCAATGTCCCCCGCGTTGCACATACTTTATCTGTCCAAGGGGAATAACTAAAAAAAAAAAACACTTTTTTTTATCTTTAAAACAATTTATAAATATCTTCAATATCTTCGAGAAATGAAGGCTTCAGAGCAAATGCAATGTGATTTCTGTTACAATTAATTCTTTACAAGGAGCATAACTTGTTAAAGATATTTGATAAGTACTTATTTTCGAACCTGTCAAAGACATAGCTGATATAAATCTATGATATAAGTTTCTTAAAATTCTGGCAAGAATTGTACACGAGAGCGCTAACAATGCAATTTTCCATATAATCAATACTTCCTAGGGTCATAACTCTTTTAAAAATAATCGATCAGCACCAATTTTCAAATTTGTCTGAGAAATTGATGATATAAACCTATAATATAATTTTTTTTAAATCTGGCAAGAATTGTACACATGAGAGTGCTTACAATGCAATTTCAATATTTCCAAGGGGCATAACTCTTAAAAATAATTGATCGGCACTGATTTTCGAACTCGTCAAAAACAATGAAGATATAAACCTATGATATACGTTTCATAAATTTCAGGCAAGAATTGTACACGAGAGCGCTAACAATGCAATTTTCCATATAATTGCGGGGGGACATAGAAATACCGAAGGTCCATCAGGTCTTGTTAGCTCTCTTACGTGTACAGTTTCATGCCAGATTTTTATGAAAATCATATCATAGGTTTATATCAGCAACCGGGGGACAATAACAGATACTAGATTCATACACCATGCATAATTTATGTTCTTTTCTTGACAAGTACCATTATAAACATACACATAATTTTGTCACTTGAATATCTATGTGTATATTTCATTGATGAATTTCTTAAAATGTTCATGGATAGGACGTGTAGAATGTTGTGCTGATTGAATAAATTGTGATTAAAAAGTAAAGAACTATGGTTTGGATTAAATAGAGAGAATAAATATAAGGGCTATTCCATTAAAATGTATGTGGAAGGGTAGGAAGGGAAGTTTAATTATTGAATATGGGTCATGGGTCTTTTTTCAGTATGCGTCTATTACCATTATGCAAAATTATCTAAAAAATGGTTCTTGGTTGTCGAGATATTTTGAAAGTCCCTTCCTACCCTCCCACATACATTTTAATGAAATAGCCCTAATATGGGAATGTCAAAATTCTTGCTTCCAGGGGAACGTACATTTGAAAGGTTGTTCAAGAAAACATTACATAATTTTCTTGTTTTTAAGCTGTGGAAAATCAAAATATATCAAAAGTTTTTCTTGAGAAAGTAAAATTCATGAAAATAATGAAGCCCTTTCAGAAACTGAAAAAAAGATTTCTAAAGTTAAGACAAAACTAAAATGGCCATGTTTTAAATAATGCCTTTGCCAAACAAATCCTTGATGCTTACAATTTAATGTTCTAGAAGGAATTCTACCAAGTGAAAATGGAAATCTGAGAATTTTTGATGTATTTTCATTGGGTTTATATTTCATGATTTCTGGGGCAAACCTGTTCACCCCTTTTTTAAATTTTGCATCGTATTTGTCCCTGTTTCTTATCCCTTAAATCAAATTATCATGATATGGAAACTACATGTAACAAAAAATTAAACCCTTTATATAAATGTCTTAAGGTTCATCATAACATATGGACAAAAATGGCTGTGTTTAGACCTCAAAAACTACTCTGAGTACAGACTCACCTGTGCAGTTTGAAGAGTTTTAAGGCCTGGCATCAACTAGATATATAAAAGTTAAATACATTTTTTGTTTCAGAAAGATAAAATCTTTTTTTGGATTTTGATGAGCATTTTTTTTCGCTCCTGCAGAAGGTGTAAAAATAAACTAAGTTGGGATACAACTTTGAGATGCTCCCTCTCAGGTAAAAACTGTACTGTATTGTATTGATTGTCCTTGATTGGCATGGACAATAGACAGACAATAGATATCTACACAACTATAGGTGAGTTAAAGGGTGTAACTGAGTGGACAGTATCAAAAGCAATTCAGGTGTTTGTTTATTTTGACACCTTCTGCAGGAACAAAAAAAAATTGTCCCTGTTTCTTATCCCTTAAATCTTTCTGAAACACAAAATGCATTTAATTTTTATATATCTAGTGGATGCCAGCCTTAAAACTTTTCCAACTGCACAGGTGAGTCTGTACTAAGAGTAGTTTTTGAGGTCTAAACACAGCCATTTTTGTCCATTTGTTATGATGAACCTTAACAGTATTAAAATTTTCCTCATCTAGCTTATGAAATATTGAATATTGTGTTCATTCCAATGTTGATCATTTAAGTAAAATAATTTCGGGTGATTGGATGAATAGGATCGAAAAGACTAAAAATGAATAATTTAAGAGTCATGTGGATTCGAACAATTTTTGAAAAAAAACAAAATACTCAGTTTCTTACTTCAATGGTGATGAGTGCAATAAAAAGTGCTTTCTATTCTAGCTTCAAATATGATATTCTGAAAAGAGGCTATATTACATATCAATTCAACTAACAAACTTGTTTTTCTTACAGGGTGATGAAGCTTAGGATGGTCTTGATGCTTTTTCTCCATTTCTACATGTTTTTCTTCCGCTTTTTTCTTTTCTTCCTCTGGTAAAGTTTTCAAATAATCTTGTCTTTCGTGTTCCTTTTGCATTTCATATTCCTTGAACTCTTCTTTTCGTTTTTTATCTAATTCATCCAAATCTGTTGTAGCCTAAAAGTATTTGATAAAACAATTACATCATAGTACCAAGTTTGCACCAAGTACCCAATTTACACCCATTTTGTAATAGAACTAAGAAAATCTTATAGGTTTTCTTGGAATTTAAAAATTTCATTTTTTATCATTTTTCATTATGCATCTCTTTCAACAAAGCAAATATACTTCAATAAAGATACACAAAAAGGATCTAATTATATATCAACAGATGAAATCTCCAATGAAAAAAGTAAAATTTACAGAAATGTCACATGTAACATCAACAAAATGTCGTCTTTTAAAAATGAGCCATTAGAATTTGTCATAGGCATCCAATCCTTACAAAATTCATAACAAGAAAACAATATTATCAAATTGTTCTATAATTTGGAGTTTTAAAACAAAACATCAGTTTTTTTTATTTTTACTTTACAGCAGTTATTATTTTTAAGTGCTGACCAATTCTTTTTGCAAGCATGTCAATCTTTTTTCAAGTTGTTACAATAGATTTGTTTTTGTAACACAACAGAATACTACAGCTATGAAGGATTTTGTCACCTTAACCTGTTCATGGTGGGAGTGGACAAAGAGAGGACAATTATTTTCAATGGTCAATGTGCCCCAACCTATGGAGTGAACATGTCATTTCTGTTCTATCACCATAGGACTTGCACATACATGTGTACATGTAAATACATGTACCATGGAAAAATGAGTTAAGCATTCAAATTCAAATTTTTTACAAAACAATATTAAATTTGACTGGGCATGTGTATAGATGAACCACAAATTTAATTCTCTTGTAACAATCTTCATTCTGTATTAAAAGAACTTCACCTCAAAATACTAGTCTCATGTACATCACCCCATTATAATGTATGCTTTTGAAAACCATGTAAAGGAAATAACATACCGTAAAAGTATGAAGAATACAAAAAACTCATAATTAAAGTGCAAAGCTACACGACAACACTGCTGCTCAGTTTATTAAATATGTTACACATGAACATTCAACAAACACGTATGTATATATACAAATATATACTTCACACAACCTACCAAAAAGAAAAACAACCCTCCAGTCCTATCAATCCCATCTATTAATAATAAAAAGGGGGAACTAATTAAATAAATTAAAATTTACCAAGTAATTTTAGAAGCGATCGCTTTGGCGCTGTCGTACCTAATGACCGAAACACCATTTTCGGCGGGAAACTGACCGTACAATAGGTACGAAACCTATACATCATGAAAACAGACAAGAGAAAATAATTTCACTCTAATTCACTACATTCAACCATATGAAATTATGTATATTCAACAAAGTATTCATTTCTCATAGGATTGTATGCAAACTTTGGTAAAACCACCAAATCAAGTTTCAATGAAAATTTTCATTTTCTTCAATCAATGTAAGAATAAGTATCAACAAAAATAAATGAATCCGTATATGACATATTTCAGAAAAACCCTTTGCTCCAGAAAAAAGCTTGTTAAGTGAAATATATAGAACCCTTTAAAACATCAAACCAAAAAGAGCAAAAAGACTCAAGGTCAATCGGCATAAATAATGTCATTGAACAATCGACTTGTACTGTGATGTAATAACATAAGCATTGTGACATGGGATATATAAAGGAAAGGGCACGAATGTTAAATTTTCTTTGTGCTTCTTACGATTTTTCTAATAACTCATTTTGCTCAAGCAATCATTTTAACGTTTTTACACATACCTTTACTATAAGCTTTTCCAAATCTTTTGCCTCAAAACTGTGTGGATTTTTAACATCCAAATGGTGCAATATTCTCTCATCAATTTTCTGTATACCTATAGAGTCAGTAGATAAAGTATAACAGTAATTAGTGATTACTAATAAAGAAATTGCAATACACACAATTCATTTATTTTAAGTGATTACTGAATTATCTCCCTTGAAGTGGTGTTTAGTGAATCAGTGATACTGGGTGATTGCTGGTGATATTAAGTAATATCGTAAACCAACTAATTTTCATGACAGATTTGTTTTCGTGACTTATGCAAGTAGAAAAATATTACAAATATAAATCATTGGAAATATGTTAAACTTGAATTTCTATCGTACAGAGAAAAAAAAACAAAAAGAACATCATGAAAATATTTGCTGCAAAGTTGACTAGAAAGGGCTAAACATAATATCAAGATCTGCAAAAATAAGTTGGTTTACAATAACTACACTGTCATTATAACATATATTCAATGAACTAAAGGAATATACAGAGAAGTATTTCCATGTGAGACCCCCTCAATCATCAACAATCAGTAATTGCTTTACAGAGGATATTGTGTGTACTGTAGTGTATATAAAGATATATATAACCTGTTTAAAATCAACTGCATTATAATTTTTGGTTAGTAACATTGAAATAATCATATCATTTGATAAAGCATGTAAGTTAGTAGAGAAAGAATCATAAAAATAAATGCACATTAATATTAATTCTAAAATTAGTTAAAAAAAATGTATATGTCATTTAAATCTAATTTAAAAGATATGTGAACAAATTAGGGCTATTCATTAAAATGTATATGGGAGGGTAGGAAGGGAAATTTAATTATTGAATGTGGGTCATGGGTCTTTTTTCAGTATGCTTTCAGTATGCCTCTATTACCATTATGCAAAATTGTCTAAAAAATGGATCTTGGTTGTAGGGATATTTTGAAAGTCCCTTCCTACCCTCCAAAATACATTTTAATGGAATAGCCCTTAGACATAAAATATTGAAACTTTATAAATTAAATATGTAAAATACATTAACAACAAAATCAACCTGAGGACCAAGTACCTGCCATTATCTTTTTTCAAAAGAGAAATAACTATGAAAAGACAAACATTTCTTTTTATAGTTTACTTGCATAAGGGAAGATAACTCAATTTTTTTCTAGCTCTTTCATCTATTGGAAAACATTTTTTCACCACCACAGGAAAAAAACTAATCCTTGCTAGAAGTATATTCCCAAACTACACTATAAAAGCATAAGCTTAATATATTTCATAATAAAACAAATGTTAAAACAAAAAGACGAAGCTTATCATAAACTTTTAAGTGAATTTTTAACATGCATTTATGAAAATTCTAAAAATTAATGCTATGTTTTGAAATTTGTGAAATACAGATCACAACTTCTAAAACTTGCATTTTTATTCTTATTGTAAATGTTTCCACATGACATTTACCTATGTCACAATAGTGAATTTAGCATTTCATTCAACTGTTATTTTTAACGATTTACTAATATAAAGTGCATGCATGCATTAATCTTCAAATTTTCAGTATTGTTTGTCTATATTCTAAACCTTTATTCTTACAATGATGCATTACATTTTTGAATCAAAATGTATTCAAAAACATCTGTTCCTCAAAGTTTAGCAGTTATAAAGAAAACATAATTACATGTATTTAAGCTGAATAGTCACCAATAAATTGTTAACACATTTAGTATCAAATCAATAAATGTTCCCTATTGTGTAAAAAACAACCAAGAAATATGTTTTAAGAGTTCTAAAATGTACAAAAGTAATTGAGTGTGAAAACATGAATCATTTTTCAGACTGAAAGTAATTTCTTGCAATTAAGTATAGTGAAATTTCTTCAATGAGAAAACTGAACATTTCACTGCGGGAAAATAAAATGTCTGTTGAGAACTAGCATGACTTCTTTTAATTGAAAAAACATATTTCTCGGAAAACTTTTTGTGTGTTGGGCAGCTAGACAATACTGTGATGGTAATAACACTGAAATTTTTTTTTAAAAAATGTGTGGCAGTATTTTGCAGAATAAATACAAAAATGTTTTAAAACTTCTCCTGAACAAGGCCTTTTTTTCTGATAAGTTACTTAGAGGCATAGGTCTCGTCAAAAATTTAAGCACTCAGTGAATTACTGGTACAACTTTTGAACAGTTTTGATGGAAGATTAAAAACAATTCTGCTGTTAACCAAAATATTGCCAAAAATTAAGGGAAAATTTTACTTTGTACAATAAGATTTTTTTTTATTACTGGACCAAATGCCAACGGGTATGATTCAAAAGATATCCAGAAATTAAGATCATTGATATTGTAAATGCTAATTTTTTTTAATGGAACCTTTAGAATCGATATCAATGTCTTGATATCAAATCATGTAAACCCTTCCCCCCCAAAAAAATATACTTACATTTTACAATAAAAAAATATCTATACAATATTATCCATAAATAGCTCTACAGTATTTTAATCATTTACTGATGTTAATTTAGAGACATTAATATAAACAGTTAATTGCATATATATATATATATGTTAAATCACTGTTGGGGGTTAATATTAGAGTACAATCGTTACTTCAATTCTAATACAATTGAGAGCATGGAGAAAAAGCATTTTAAAAACCAAATCTGATGTCATGTACTTGCTGAGTACTCTGAGGGCATTATTCATTATACGATGCCATGAAATTTTTTGAAAAATGCAAAACTGACACATTAAACAGTACTATTAGACGTTACACAGTATTAGAAAATGCCACTGAAATTTCATGATGTTACACCCCATTTATAAATACTACTGAAAATTCATTATCTGACAAGATGTAACTAGATTGTTCTAAATTCTGCTTCTCATGGGAAGACTAAACAAGTTTCTATAGTCCATAAATGATCAACATAAAATTTTTACAAAAAGCATTTTGGGAATGAGTGACAAAAAATAATCAACTCAACAACTAATCTACCAGATAATAAACTGCAATGGGTTTTTTAAACACAGTGTAAAATCTCAAATTAAAACTTGATTTCATCATAATTTGTTCTGCAAACTACTCAAATGATGGTGTTCACTACACTGCAAATAAAAGAAAAGTATGGTGAGTGAAATACAGTACAACCATGGTGGTTCTTTAGAAAATCACTTGTTGGTGTTAAGTGAAATCACAGTGAAAACAGAGTGAATGCTGGTGATTGAGTGGATATAACACTATGATTGATGATGCTGAGTATTCAGAAATCTATTACAGTGATTCACTCACAATCAACAGCGATCACTGTGAAAAATTACCACTAAGAGTGATTTTTTCAGAACCACCATGGGTGTACGTTGTGTTAATCATATCACAATAGAACTACAGCTATGACAATTAATCAAGAGATATGTTTTACTGAATTAATACATAAAATATTTTCTAGCAATAAGCTATTAAAATTAGCTACAAGTTTAAAATCTGCATAACACATGTAGTATAGGAGCAAATTAAAGCCAGCATTTAATGATTTTTTCAAATATTTTTCCTTTTTTTGGACATATCTACTTATGATTCTAAGGGGGATTACAAAGGTTTATGTATATGAAGTGCATAAATATCTATAACAAAATTTATGAAATTTCAATTGTTTCTTGAAATTGAATGATCCAAAAGGCAAAGTATTAAATCCTGGATTTACCTTACTGTATCTAATACATTGTAATGGCAATTTTAATAAATTTGTACAAAATAGTCAACCTAATTTTGTAACTTTTAAACAGTTTGCCAGTTTTTACAATTGATTAAGGTGGTACATAACACTACAGGGTGATAACCTTTTAAAAATCACCTGAACGTTTTAATCACGTTCTATTGTTAAGGAAATATTAAGCTTCTCAATGATCAAAATTAGTGTTTGTCAAACTGCTATATATCCAATGAAATTTTTCCGATAAAATGTGTGGTTCAAGTTTTTGATTTTTTGAAATTTTTGTCAAAGGGTCAAAATAAATATTTTGTCAAAATTTTATGAAAATTAAAGGAGCCAAATTAATATTAGTCAAGGTGTTTAGTACCACCTTAAGAATATAAATCTATCACTTCTTTTTATGTGGAGGTAGAAATTGAGGGTTTCTAATTCTAACATTTAGGAATCTGTAAAATGCACATTACAATTTAAAAAAATAGACAAATAAGACACTGAAGCCTCAGTTTCAGAGACCGAATATATTGTTTACACTTGTTACTATGGTGATATGATAAGTAATACCCGCTACAAGTTAGGAGAGACAGCAGCTGCAACAACAGGATGATCTGAAATTTGAAAATCATACCTCCATGAATCGATATGTAATGAAAGACATCCATACCATTCATAGTTTTCATTTTTTCTCGTGCTAAAATTCTTAATCTGTCGACTTCACGTCTTTTAATTTCATCCAATCTTTCTCTAATGTTGTGAGCTACCATTTCTAGATGCATTGATATTTTACCATTCTGAAAAGAAAAAAAAATTTCTGATATTAAAAATTACTCGTAAATGAAAAATCTAAAAAAATATCCAATTGAATGTTACAATAATTTGAAGACAACAATAAATCAATAGGCAAAGGCTTTTCATTTATAAAAAAAAAAATTTATGAGACAATAAAATTACTTGTGTATTGTAATAAAAAAAAAATGCGTGTTTTACTGATTTTCTACCCTTTACAAGATCACTGTTTTTCCTTCCTAACATATTGCATTAGCTTATGTCATTGATAAGACAAAGGAGTTTTGTAATCAAAAAATTTAGTTCACCTAGTCTTTGGTATGGTTGGTGTTGCTCAAACTTTATTTATATATGTTGTGTTTTGTGGGTAGTTTGTTTTAACATTATTTTTTTCTTTGGCCATGATGCTGTCTCTTTTTCTCTCAACTTTTTTTATTTTTGTGTCCCCCCCCCCTTTTTTTTTGGTTTCTTCCATCTTTTTCACTGAAGCTTAAATCCAGTATTTCTATACTGTACCTTGATATCTGTTGCATTTGTTTCTTCTAATTTCTTTCTAAAGTCTGGATCTTCTTCCAGCGCCATCACTACCTCCTTAAGGTAACGGTCATATTCTAGCCCAGTGTCCTAAAATGATAAACAATACAATATATAAGGTGGTACCAAACACCTTGACTATAATTAATTTGGCTTGTTTAATTTTCATAAATTTTGACAAAACATTTACTTTGACCCTTTGACAAAAATATTAAAATTTCAAAAAACTTGAACCACACACTTTATCGGAAAAATTTCATTGGATATATAGCAGTTTGACAAAAACTAATTTTGATCATTGAGAAGCTTAATATTTCCTTTACAATAGGATGCGATTGAAATGTTCAGCTGACTTTTACAGAGTTATCTCCCTGTAGTGTTAAGTACCACCATAAATATGTGTGCATAAGTTTTTCTTTTGTTTGAGTGCACTCTTTTGCATTTTGTGATAAAAAAAAAAACAAGATCGCAAGTATCTAAAGTACTTCATTAAAAACTGCTTGATAGAATATTAGAGTTGTCATAGTACGTAGTACTGTTTAAGTGTTTATCTAAACAGAAATGCATAAATTTTCACAAAAATCATCCATCAACAAAATACGTTTCAAAGGCAAAAACAAGAAACAACATAAAAATAAGTAGTAAATTCAAGTAAGGTATTATTTTTTGCTTTTAATATATCAAAATCTAAAACATAAATTTTTAATGACCAACTTTGCAGTGATTTGTAGAGTAATGTTTTGAATACCCAGACCAAAGATTCATAAATAATAGTTTGTAAAGGAGTGTAAAACTTATATGCAGCAGACATTATAACAAAAGCAACAGGAAGAAAGCAAAAATACCAAATCATTTATAAAATAGTAGATTCTTACAACCTTGAGTACAGAAAAGGTCTTTCAAACCAATGGAAATATGAATAAGTAAAAGAACTCAAACCACTAGGATAAATTGAGGTATTTTGTCAGTTCCTGTAAAATTCAAATTTTGTTCAAAGTATTTCTAACTCTCCTGGGTGAACTCAGTTGATTTGAAATCTTCGAGGTACAAGAAAGTTTGGAGGGATAAGAAAATATCTAAAAGTTTGAAATTTCTAATCATATGTTATTTTGTGCATCGAAATGAGTTCCCTTCATTAATACTAAGCTAACCGCCTAAATGATTGACCAATGCTTTAAATAACAGAGTTCTCGATAAGTGGTGGTCCTAGGGATTTGACCACCGCATTTTTGGGAAGGACCAACACAATTTTGGTAATTTGCAATAGAAATAATAGTGAGAACCTTCATATTTTCTTCAAGGACCACCAGGCAAAAAAAGATTTCGAGAACTCTGAAATAATAATTGCAGAACACATTTTGACGAGGATATTATGGAACAAATTAAAAACCAAAGCCCAGAAAATCCATGGCAGATAAAAGGAACATAAAAAATATAAATAAACGATAAAAGTTATGTTATGAACCTATTGTGGGTCCCACCTACTGTAAATTTTGTTTGCAAGGGATCCCAGAAGCAAAATTGGTCAAAATCAGAATTGAAGAAGGCAAAGGTCGAGACCATAATCTAAGATCTCTTTTATCTGGCCTAAATGTACATACAAGGAGAAAACAAGAACAGTTTCAACAAAAAGGATGTAGAGGAAAAGTGTAAATCATTATTCTATAAACCTCAAGAACCACACCAGGAAATTGTCAATATGTTAACTTTATAGCAATTGACAGTTTTCTACTTACATTCTTGAACTTAATAATTAATTAATACAAAATATAAGTGTTATAAATAATATTATGCAATCACACATCTGCAACAGTCTACAATGGATAAGAGCTTGTGTGTTAATATATGCATGATATGTGCATCACATGATTTCTGTATCAGTGATAATAAAAGATGGTGGTCAGAAATCTTGAGGTCCATTAAACTTGTATATAGGCTGATGGTACCCCTAGAGACCTAGACACCCTTCAACTGTAAAAGATTTCTTAAAATAAATACAAGATGCCCCATTTGGTTACATACTTTTATTTTTTCCTTCATTTCTACTGGTACCCTGCTGTAAAGTCTTTTCCATCAATATTAAAGCTGTACAAACATTCAGCCAATATTTGTATATAGTTACTTATATTCTTGTGAAAAAAAGTAAAATAACAAAAATATAGAACTCTAAAGAAAATTCAAAAATGGAAAGTCTTTTATCAAATGGCAAAATTAAAAGCTCAAACACATCAAATGAATGGAAAACAACTGTCATATTCATAGACTTGGTACAGGCAATGTGGCATTTCCTTATGTAAAAAATGGTGGATTAAACCGGGTTTTATAGTTAACTAAACGCGTGAAGGATAAAGTATGTTAGCACATAAAGTTCTGAAATCCTCAAGAGTGCTCTTCAACTTATTATCTTCAATCTTTTTCAGACATTCCTGCAATTATCCTCAGCTTCTCGATCTGACTCTTTAAATTCTTTAACAAGAAACTTGATTACTCACCTTATACCTTTATATCATTGCATGTTTTAATCTAATGCTACTATGTCTAATTCTCAGGATTTTAGGAAATTCAAGGGCTAAATAAGCAAAAACCATGTGATGATAAAACCAATAAAATCTAATTCTAATTAAGCTTACATTTTGTACATAAAAGGAAAGTTTAAATGTGCTATGACCACTTTCCTGGAAATAAGTGTTCAAGTTCTATAATATCTAGAAGTGCATGGTATGGATAAATTTTTAACACCCAAACTCCTAAAAGTATTAGATAATTTTCTTGCAACTGACCATTCAATTTGCCTTTTTATCCATAGTTATTCAAATTTATTTGTAAAGTATTGAAATCAATAATACCATATTGCTCAGCTGAGTTTACCTTAGAATAAACCGATTTCCTGAGATTAACCTTTCAGAATATATATTGACCAATTGCAAGCAAATTTCTCAACACTTTTATGGTTTCAGTTTTAAATTGCAAGTTTTGGCAGAGAGTGTGTACTGGAAACTGATTTTAGTGTAAAATTTTCTAAAAAAAAAAGATACCTCGGTGTCAGTTTCTAATACTGGAAGCTACAATTCAAGTAACATGTATAAATTGATGCTTGTTTGAGGAAATACAATGAGTTTCAAATATTATGACATGAGTTGAAAACTGGACGAGAGAGATCTTACTTGGTATTTGGATTACCCTTAGAAAAAGTACTTAATAATGTTGATGGACCAAAATATTCAAATCTGTGTAAGAAAAAAAATAAATTTTCTTCTTTATTTACATATTTCCACTGTACTAGAACATAAGAAACATTTAGTGCAAGATAATCATACGTGAAATGGCTGAAATAGGTTTTTTTATCTTATAATATAATTGCAAGAATAAATCAACATGGGCCAATGGCAGGATTTCTCAAGGACTTTTGCATCAAGGACTTTCAATGCAAAAGTCCTTGGCCTTGATAAAATATTAAGACATTTCTCAAGCCCTGTGTCCTAAAATTTACCAGACCAGAACAAACCAGTCTAGAAGATTGGTATTTTTTGCTTCCCTACTAAGCACACAGCAATTACAATGAATTAGAAGTTAGAGCATAGACTGGTTGGCCCAAACTCAGAACAATGTGTAAGGGTAGGGTGACATGACTTCCTGCAGACAGTTACCTGTTGAATAAGCACATCAAACATATTGCTAAGCAAGCAAGTTTAGTACAAAGCAGGGATCATTTTCATATCTAATAAATATTGTATCATCTTTAATGATGGGACAGATCTCAAAGCTCTAAATGTTAAGAAAAGCTGTTAAATAAATTAAAAGAGGAAAACTTAATAAAGAATAGATTTTCATCCTGTATATATAATATTTTAACATATACATGTAAGTAATATTTGCAACCGGACATTAAACACCGATCTATCTATCCATACATATGTAAAAATCAGTTCTTACCTCATCTTGTGTGTCTGAGCCCCCTTCTTCTGGCTTTGCATCAGGTTTGACGGGCGGACAGACAATACCATATAATGATATACAAATTATTAGTAATCCTAAAAGTTTCTCCATTTTAATCTGAAACAACAATTTATAATAAGTTTACATTGTATAAGGTTATGTGTTGTCATAAAATACCATAAAATGTAAAAAAAAAAAAATCATATATATTGGTAAGCCGTCCTAAAATTTTATCTTCCACAATTTTTTTTTACATCCGCAGAGTTCTCGATAAGTGGTGGGCCTAGTGATTTGACCACCACATTTTAGAGAAGGACCAACACAATTTTGGTAATTTGCAATAGAAATGATAGTGAGGTCCTTCATATTTTCTTCAAGGACCACCAGGCAAAAAAAGATTTCGAGAACTCTGCATCCGATTCAAACACAGAATGACATTCCCAACTGAAACAACTGTCCTACAACATGTACAATTCATATTTTCTATCACTCCCTGAAAAAGGACACAAACTAAAACTAAAAAAATATATTTTTCATCAAGTCAATTTCAAACAGACATGTCTGTCAAATTTGTTTTTTGTAAATTGTTTTGTTATAAAGTAGGTCGTTAGTTTTCTCAATTGAATTGTTTCATGTTTTTCATGTCTGGGCCTTTTATAGCCAAATATATATGGCATGGGTTTTTTCTCATTGGTGATGCCTTAGGTTGCCTATAAGTGCTTACATCTTCTTTATTTGAACTTTGGTGGGTAGTTGTTTCATTAGCAATCATACCACATCTCCTTATTTTCATATGCACAGAATTCTACAAACATTAAAAACTAATTCTAAATTTCTACAAACAATTATTGTAAACTATCTGTATGTCTATGATTATTAAAGTGTTACAGGCTGTTTGTATCAGAAGAATATTTACAAAAGATTTTATGTCTGTTTATTGTCACAGAATAACTTTGAACATATTTCATGTACTTTATGCAATTTAGAAATGATAAATTAGTTTTGTATAAAAAAATGTATTGTTTTTGTTGATTGATGATAATAATTTATACATACACGTCAGTATGTAATCTGATGATAAACATTACGTTGCAAACAGAAAATATAAACAAATGTAACCATCAATCATCAATATGAGGAAGAAAAAGGATTAAACAACAGAAAAAAACAAGTTGCTTTCCTTAAAAAAAGAAAAGCATTACGTGAACCTGAGACCGCTGACTGGTCACCAAAAAATTGTTGCTAATTTTTGTTTGCTTTTGATTTGAAATAACTGACTGTGAATAGAATAAGATAATGATGATGTTAATAAAACACCTTTATTGAAAATATGTAATTGTGTGTAGATTCTTGCACAAGTCAATTGAAAGCAATGTTGGATAGTTGTGAATAAAAAAGTGTATATATACTGCTACTATTTGAAGTTACGTTAAGGCTCGACTATTTCATTTATTACTTGAGATTCACTGAGTATACATCATTTTTCATAATCCTATTGCAAATCCAAGTTTCTGCAAATCAGATGTCTGATGCAAATTTCACAAACCAATCGCAATATAATTTAAGCAATCAGTGTGCTTTATAATCTGGATGCCTTTATTTTACATATCATATCTTCATAATTTGAATAAGATTTTGCAAGGAATACACAAGAGATGTGGGGTATACATGTACATTGTTTATATCGATGAGACATTAATCAGTTAATCCAATGAACAAAAACCCAATCATTTCTACGGATTAACATGAATGTACTGTCTTCAACAATGGGACACATCTCAAAGTTCTAAATGGTTAGAAAAGCTGTTAAATAAATTGAAAGAGGAAAACTAAATAAAGAATAGACAAATTGCCAAGTGAAATAAAACCATACAGAAATAAAAAAAATAAACCATCCCCCACCAAGACCTACTTTCATAATTCAAAATACCTCCTAAACACAATATGTACTAGTCAGAAAGGGTGGAGACAGAATTTCAGAACTTGGAAAATGAAAACTTTATTGACTTTCTAGGAATGAAATTCTTGAAATGGGAGGTGCTCCAATCTTCAGAGGCTCATACACAGTAGAAGTGAATACAATAGCCATCTACTTGTGATCAATTTCCTACAGAAAGTTGGTGGTGTTATCCAACACTACGGCTTCCTCCAACAATAAAACTGACCGCCATGAATAACTCAAAGGTGGCTTTAAACACCAATCAATTAATCAATACTTGTGATCAGAATAAAAGACAAATCACATTAGATTTTTCATCTTTTCTATGGATTTCAATCAAAACCATTTTTTTACTAATGAATCAGGCCATAATCTTGCCGGCGAAATGACGATTTAAGTCGCCAAAGAATTTTGAAAATCGCTAAATCTCGCCAGCCGACTGACTTCATGGCGAAGTCAAATCGCTATGAAAATCTGTAAAAGGGAGACAACTTGTGAATAACAAGTCTCTCAGGTAAAAAAAATGGCGACTGACAAGGAAAATTTTTCTGGACATTTAAAAATAAATTGAGGCAGATGCACATAAATTTATTGCATCATAATATTACTAGGCTACTCCCTCATATCCCAAGCAACAAATTTTATTTAAACTTAAATTCAAGTTGACAGTACAAATGGTATCAATGAATAAATAACAACTATATTGTCTTAACCTTTTTATTAAGAACTTTCTACATATACATTTTGTACAATAACATGAAAAAACTGTATATTTTTTATTGCATATAAAACAATTTCCTTAGTGATAAGCACGAGAACACTATGCAACTGAAACGGTAATGGAATCTCACTTCTCCAAGAAATTGACCACTTCTCCCTTCTCTCTCATGGAAGGAGAAGTCACTTCTCCCTCTCCAAAATCCTAGATTAGGCCCTGTGAATTCATTACAATTTTCCTCTTTCTGGAATTTACACTTTTGTCATGATACTATTGTTAACAAAAAATTCATTAAAGTCTAAATGCTGTCTGACTGATTCCAATATTAGATGAATTAGTTTAATTATTGATAAATGATCATTATTTTACCCAATGGACAAACATTGGCTGTAACAAAAAATTATACCTCTTCAGGGGTGTATTACATTTGTGCAGATTCAGAAATTAACATCTGCGCAAAAAAAATTACCTTTTGGCGTCTTTAACCTAAATGTATATTGGGGGTCTCATTGGGGGGTTCTGATCCCGGATCCCGCTTACTGTTTTGTCAGATTCCTGTATCCCGCTTACACTATGTACGTAAGCAATTCTCATTTTTTTGTAATTTCCCGTGTCCCGCTAGACCTCATTTCCCGTTTTCACAGCACAAAAATTTGACTTTCACGTGGCACGCTTACAAAAAATCGACAATCCCGGGTCACGCTTAGACCCCAATGAGACCCACTATATTTACCATGCTACATTAAATAAACACAACTCACTGTTAAATCGTATTTTATATTTTACTAGGCGAATATCCATTTAATTTGTTAGTGACATTTGGAACATAAGAAAGTTTGTAATAGAACTAGAACTAGAACAAATAAAGGGAAGAAGTGGTGTAAGGCAAATGTGCGCGACTTCTGGTATATAAAGCCACCTGACGTAACAGTTTGTAAATGTCATTTTTACCTGTAAATTACTATTTTTAAATCTGCAAAAAACATAGATACTGTTGCACAAACGTAACGATATTTCTCACACAAATGACCATAGGTCAACTTGGGCAGTTCGTTTATAAAACTAAAATTGGAAAGTAGTCTATAGAATATAGTATACAGAAAGGTGACAATAAAAAACAGTAATTTAGTTAAAATGAGACAGGATCAAAAGACAAAAGAAGAACGACAAACGACAGCTAAACATAACTAAGCTGTAAAAACAAATTAATTTATGAAATAAGATTTCTACACTGTTCACAGTTGACTTAGAAGAATCATTTCATGGCCATATGCCATGATATGGGGACATGTTGACAGTCCAATAAAAGAGTTTTCCATATTAACAAATGACATTTACATAAAAACCGGTGAATTTGGCAAGACATATTCTAATAAACAGTTGTTTAACCCAGTGCCAAAATGTGTCGTAGAAATATATAAAGAAATTTTACCAAATTGTGCGTGCAGTTCCAACGACACAACAAATGTTTATGTCCAACCGGAAATCGACATAATTGACGTGTCATTCAATGTTAAATATAACGCCTCTTTTCATTGGTAGCGAAGAACAATTTTCCACCAACGGGGAAACTATTCGTACACTTCTAATGGGCGGGGTATTTAATTAACAGACAGGTGCGTCAGTATTGACTGACAAAGCACAAGATTTTCAATGGGAGAATAAAATGGTTTTATATTTCTTTGTCCTAGCCAATGACCTACAGATGTGTTTTATATCTCTCTGTCATGAAACTCCTATTACACGAAAGTTTCTCTTGAAACTTTACAAATACAAAATTTTTAACATTTGCCAATCTCATCTCTTGAAACTTTACAAATACAAACATGACAAATATTTGCCAATAGAATAATTGTATTTTGTATTTGATATCAACAAGGCTGGAACAAATATATTGCCGTATACCCTTATTAATTGGCTTTATTCCGTCTGTAACAGAGTCACGTTTAATATTAGAAATATTAGTATAGAACATTTACAAGAATATTCAGTCTTCAAACGAATATTTCCCACTGGACGTTAAGCAATCAATCAATCAATCCGTTTAGAACTAATATTAGAAAAAAAAATTATATTCTATGATAGTCTCAGCTTTCATTAATTAAGTACATTGTTGTAGTTGGAAAACAATGAAAAAATTAATAATAAAAGAAATTGACCAAGAGCAAGACATATTACTGTCACGTTTACCGGTCATATGGTTATCTCTTGTATTACATATGTTTAGCCCACTTGTTTTGTGGACATAAATGTCATTAAAAAAATTACCTGCGCTTTATATACTACTAGTCAGCCAGTGAAATCCATGTTTATGCTCCTTTATTAAACAGTCTATGGAACTGAGGACAGAGGGGCATTTGAGGTCGTTTGTTGTATTGTGTGTTTAATGTTTTGTTTTATTTTCATGTAAATGTCATCATTATATTATTGTTTATACATGTAATTGTTAGTATGCCTTTGATCCTATTATGGGTGTAATGTGTGCTTAATAAAGTTGTTATATAAAGGTATAATTATATAGGTAATTTTATCAAGTTTCTTCATTGTTCAGATTTGTTAAAATTGTATTTCTAAATCGAAACAAAACCGGCCGGTCCTGATGTTGTAAACAACAATTACAAAATCGGGTCCTTCCATTTTGACATCTGCTTTTTCTTTCGCCCCACTAACATATGGGTCATTTTCAAAAAATGTCGAATTTTCAGTACACCCATGCTAAAAGTTTTATTTCTCATGGAAATTGCAGCTGTAAGTTTGTAGGATTTACGAGTCAGGACATTAATAATAAACACGATTTAGATCTATTTTGATAAGATTAAAATATATTTAAGTCCGATTTTTGCGTAATTCATGTGCGTACAGTGTCAGAGTAACACATTTCAAATGATATTTTTGCTATTTTCTGATCGCCTTGATATCGGCATAAGGAACTTTCTTAGAACGTTAATAATAACTCTAACGAAAAACCGTAGCTTCTTTATTATTATATGTAACATTTTTTCTACAAACTAAATTCAATCAGCGTACATGAAGTTCATGTCCATCCTGTTACCGCTACTTAAATCGGCCGTTAAATTGTTCTCCCTGTGAACATTGAACTAGTCAGTAATGATTTCAAAAGTGCAAAGTAAACTAAACATTGAACACAGCACGTTTCTTGCATAACAGTGAAGATAAAAAAATTTCAAGACATTTAGTGAAAAAAAATTGGGGGTACTTTTTTGTCATGTCTATGCTGTTACCAACATATTGATTAATTACACCAGAGACATATATGTGTATATATGTCTCTGATTACACGAATGTAATACTTGTAAAAAGTGCAATAACTTGTTGCAAACCAAAATCACAACAGAAAAACATTATCACTTCATCAAAGGGAGTAGTTATTTCAAAACAGCATTCAAAAATGAAGAAATTTGTCTATCCTGTTATGTCTATCCTGTTACTATGGTTGCTATGGTTACAGTAACAGGATATATAGACAATAGTAGACAGAAACGCCTTAAAAAAGTTTATAATAACATATAGTTGCACACATAATGAAATATTTCGTTGTTTGAACTCATCTCAAGGCAGTATCACTATTTTGCGGGCTGCGGGTTGCGGGCTGCAGGCTGCGGGTTGTGGGTTGCGTGCTGCTCTATTTCATTAAATTACAAAGTTACATAAAAATCTAAATACTAATTTTCCTTTACAGGTTTAACGTTAATGAAGAGCTGTGGCATGAGCGCATGATACGCCTGTCGCTTTTTCGATGAATAAAGTTCCATAACTTCTCAATGTCATATCAGAAATTTATAAAAACTAAAGGGAGGTTATTTCAATAGATATAAACCAGTCACCAAAGTTTCATGAAAACTGCTCAAAACATTCTTGAGTTATTGTCCGAAAACTGGAACCCCCCTTTTTTTAATGAATAAAACCACATCACTCGGAAATGTAAAATGTAAAATTTATATAAATCGTAAGGGAACTTATAGATATAAACAATTCGCCAAACTTTCATGCAAATTGGTTAAAGAAAAAGGGAAATAAATAAAAAACTATCAAATTTTGTTAAAAATAATTGAAAGAATATTAAAAGAAGATGACTTTAGTCCAGATGATGAAAATAAAAAAAAATAAAGTATTTCTGTATCACAAATTTGAAAAAAAATATACATTATTTTATTTTGATTTAAACCTTTATTTGTTTCTCCAGTTTATTAAGACATATTGACTGACCATAGAAATGAAACATTAAAATAGTAAATTTTGAACTTAAACAAATTGTATCTGACAATATATATATATTATTCGTCTAAACAACACGTCACTGCTTCAGACGTACTTATTATATATATATTCCAAATACCGTTTCGATTCCTAACATCACTGAAGAGACATTAATTGCCGAAATCCGGATATGGTGTACAAATTTTTGCACCTCATGTTTGCGGTATACCATCTTTTCCGCAAGTTTATTGTTTTCTGTTTGGTATTAAATTATAATAATTATATATATAAACCAGTTTTTGGACAAAAACTCAAGAATGTTTTGAGCAGTTTTCATGAAACTTTGGTGACTGGTTTATATCTATTGAAATAACCTCCCTTTAGTTTTCAATTTAGACTTATATATATATATAATTGTAAACATATAACTATTGACTTATGCGATAACTTTTCTTTTCTTTCTTGTAAAGACACTTTGTATTCACTTGCTGTATGTTCTATGGCTTCTCTTTCATTAAGTTTTGGTACTTTATAAAATTATTTCATTTTTATTTTAAGGATGAAAGGTCTTTTTTATATATATGCAAAGGGATGCTGAATTGCACATAACTATTACATCTCCTTTACTTTTATTTAATGAGTTTGGACAGAAGAACATAAATCCCTCAATTGAAACAATATCAAACAAGTTATATAAAATTTTGTCTGAAGAATCTGTCACTAAAACCAATAAATCCATCCTAAAATTAAATGGTTCGATTCACACAATAAATTTCTGACCTTAAAAATTTGGTAAATCTGGCTAATTATCTATAGGTTTCAATTAAAATCATGTTTTATCTAAAGAAAAGGAGAAAAAGAAGAAACACAAACAAATAGGAAGAAAAGTGATAATATATCCTTAATATAACAATCTATAACAACACAAAGCAATGTGTTATTGCACATAAATAGTTTAAGGTCTGTATGCCAAATGTATGACAAATATGAGATGATCTAGAATCATAGTAAGATAAAATCTTAGCAATCTTTGGACACTTTTAAATTACTTGAATTATTAAAAAAATTCTGTTCAAGTATGATCATTATTTTCATTATCACACTTAATTCAGGGAAATTTTAAGAAAATTATGTAATTTCTTCCTGAAAAGTTACTTTTCGTACACTTTAAAGTGTCATTGCTTTGTGTGAAAAAAGCACTGGCCTAGCTGGTTAACAATTTTTACTTTTTATCAATTCTATAATAAGTGATATATTTGGTTTTGATATTTTCTATTTATTTTCTGATATATTGGTATAATAAATGACCAGCAATAAATCATTAAAAGTCTGTTAATAATAATACACATTCTTACACAATTTTTTGAAATTTCACAAATATAACCTTTTACAAGTATATACAGTGTTTTGGTGATTTTTTTTCTTCCTTATTTATTGTTCAACTGACTTATTAGATAGCAACCCGCAGCCCGCAACCCGCAGCCCGCAGCCCGCAACCCGCAACCAGCAAAATATACACACTCATCTCAAGGTTATAAAGTCTTAACCTTTACAATTTAGCATTTACAGGTGCAATACTGCTAACGGTAACAGGATAGACAAAAAGGGTAACAGGAAAGAACTTAATATAGTGATATATCATTAACGTACGTTCCTGTTACCATGGAAGTAATATTGATTTAAATATTACTTCCATGCTGTTACCAACAAAATAAAGACAAAAGTAAACCAACATGCGAGGGATTTACTTGATGTTGGGTTTATTTGAAAGAAAGAGAAAATGCGGAACATTATATATATTGCTATCTTAGACTTGCATAACTGGTTGTTATTTTTATAACCTTTGAAAACCAATTTTAAGAGGCATTTTTCAGTACAACATGGAAAATTGGCAAACAATCTATTATTTCACAGAATGAATATATATAGAAGTTTTTACTCTTGAAAACCATCTTATTGGCTTCGAAAAACAAACTTCAAATTTTATCGAAACCTTTTCTAAATAACCCAAAATTTCTTCTGAACATGGTAACAGGAGAGACAAAATATTGCACCCCCTATCAAAAAATGTTTCAAAATATTCTTGTATGACATAATCAAGATTGCATCTTTTTATATGTTGTTCTATAAGTATTGTTTGTTTTGATTTGCTAGTGATGAGGGTTGTTTGAATAAGTAAATTTAAATCAATTTTGCAATTTCAAAATTCGACATTTTTTTTAGATAACCCATATTGTAATATTTTAATGTTTTGTAAATATTGACCTCTGGTTAATCTG